GACTCGACTGTTGAGACACCTGTGTGTTAGGAGACAAGCCCCGGTTGTCAAGGTGACAACGTATAAAGCAGCATGACTCGACTGTTGAGACACCTGTGTGTTAGGAGACAAGCCCCGGTTGTCAAGGTGACAACGTATAAAGCAGCATGACTCGACTGTTGAGACACCTGTGTGTTAGGAGGCTAGCCCCTTTAGTCAAGGTGACAACGTATAAAGCAGCATGACTCGACTGTTGAGACACCTGTGTGTTAGGAGACAAGCCCCGGTTGTCAAGGTGACAACGTATAAAGCAGCATGACTCGACTGTTGAGACACCTGTGTGTTAGGAGACAAGCCCCGGTTGTCAAGGTGACAACGTATAAAGCAGCATGACTCGACTGTTGAGACACCTGTGTGTTAGGAGGCTAGCCCCTTTAGTCAAGGTGACAACGTATAAAGCAGCATGACTCGACTGTTGAGACACCTGTGTGTTAGGAGACAAGCCCCGGTTGTCAAGGTGACAACGTATAAAGCAGCATGACTCGACTGTTGAGACACCTGTGTGTTAGGAGACAAGCCCCTGTAGTCAAAGTGACAACGTATAAAGCAGCATGACTCGACTGTTGAGACACCTGTGTGTTAGGAGACAAGCCCCGGTTGTCAAGGTGACAACGTATAAAGCAGCATGACTCGACTGTTGAGACACCTGTGTGTTAGGAGACAAGCCCCGGTTGTCAAGGTGACAACGTATAAAGCAGCATGACTCGACTGTTGAGACACCTGTGTGTTAGGAGGCTAGCCCCTTTAGTCAAGGTGACAACGTATAAAGCAGCATGACTCGACTGTTGAGACACCTGTGTGTTAGGAGACAAGCCCCGGTTGTCAAGGTGACAACGTATAAAGCAGCATGACTCGACTGTTGAGACACCTGTGTGTTAGGAGACAAGCCCCGGTTGTCAAGGTGACAACGTATAAAGCAGCATGACTCGACTGTTGAGACACCTGTGTAGGGGGATACTAGACCCGGTACTCAAGGTGACTCTCGTGGCTGAAGGAGGGAGATATAGGCGCAGGCCTATTCAATGGATACTGTGATGTAGTTTTCACCTGCTTGTATATTTGGGTCAGGTGACTCATCGACATATTATCTAAAACTGATTGTTAACAATCTGTACTTTGTAACAGGAAGATGGGGGGGGGGGGGGGGGGGGGTTAGCGATGTCGGTTGTATGTGAAACACTCATAAGCGCACTAATCAGCTGCATCGCACGTTTTCTTATATAATCAGCTATTTCTAATTAACGACATTGCTCCAGATTATATGACGAGACCCAGGCAGCACGTTATGACCATATCAGGTTGTCCGGGGTCAGCACGTGACACACAGCGTGTACAACGTTACAAGCACTTGTGTCGCTACACTCGTCGCCGAGTCATGCAGATGCAGTTATTCACATGTATTTAACGCCTCGTCGCACGAAGAAAGGAACGCACCTTCCTTCTTATAAATAAATTCTTTGAATGTGATAAGGGTTGGTGAGAGTGGGATTATTTCAAGACACCAATGAGCATCAGAATGTTGAGTGTTCTCAGCAACAACCAGTTGTGTGACATAAAAGAACATAACTTTATTTGCTCCCAGGCCGACATACTCGGCGCACGACAAATACAAATTGCATGATGGCGTAAGAGGGTTTGCATGAGGATTTAACATATTTCATGACAATATTACAGAATTTGCTGAGTTTTTCATGATTCCGAGTTTTGTACATTGAAAGAGAGATTGAAAAAATAATATATATTCGGTCTAGCTGAATCACATGTTGGTAGATATATCTTACGTTCTGAGTTTAAATACGGAATCAAATAATTGTAATGGTATTCAACTGCAATATCGGATAGATGACAAAAAGTACATTCGCGCTCTGGTATGGGTAATTTGTTCCAACTCCCGACTTCACGTCAAGTGCACCAGTGTTTGCTCTATAGCGTGACGTCCCCCGTATTAACGCGTCAAGTGCACCAGTGTTCGCTCTATAGCGTGACGTCCCCCGTATTAACACGTCAAGTGCACCAGTGTTCGCTCTATAGCGTGACGTCCCCCGTTTTAACACGTCAAGTGCACCATTGTTCGCTCTATAGCGTGACGTCCCCCGTATTAACACGTCAAGTGCACCAGTGTTCGCTCTATAGCGTGACGTCCCCCGTATTAACACGTCAAGTGCACCAGTGTTCACTCTATAGCGTGACGTCCCCCGTATTAACACGTCAAGTGCACCAGTGTTCGCTCTATAGCGTGACGTCCCCTGTATTAACACGTCAATTGCACCAATGTTTGCTCTATAGCGTGACGTCCCCCGTATTAACACGTCAAGTGCACCAGTGTTCGCTCTATAGCGTGACGTCCCCTGTATTAACACGGCAATTGCACCAATGTTTGCTCTATAGCGTGATGTCCCCGGTAATCCAACGGCAAGTGCACCAGTATTCGCTCTATAGCGTGAGGTCCCCCTGTATTAACACGACAAGCACACCGGTGTTCGCTCTATAGCGTGATGTTCCCTTTATTGACACGTCAAGTGCACTGTAAAATTCGTACCCTCCTCGAGAACCTGTCCTGGTTTTTTTTCAACTCTCTTTTGACTTTCTCCAACCAAAGACATGCATAGATGTAGATATAGCTCCCGATTGAAGTTAGAACACATATTCCTACACGATGCATGTGACGAAGCTGGGAACTAATAATTACATTGTATGTGTAAAGATGTATTAATGAATATTTAACAGTTGTACATGTGGGGTATTCTACTTCCACACATATGTAATGGCCAAAGTCTTTCGCTTGATCCCGAGTGTTCTTACCAGATTTAATAACATCTATTTTGTCACAACTAATTGCAGAAACCATATACTGGTATTTGGGTAAATTAGTACCTATAACAATAGGTACTGGACAAGTTTGTTTGTTGCCTCACGCCGCACCCAGCAATATTCCAGCTATATGACGAGTAAATAACCGAGTATGGACCAGACAATCCAGTGACTGACATCATGAGCATCGATCAACGCAATTAGGATACGATAACATGTATCAACTAAGTCAGCGAGCCTGACCACCCGATCCCGTCAGTCGCCTCTTACTTCAAGCATAGTCGCCTGTCTGGTCCGGACTCGATTATTTACCGCCGTCATATAGATGGAATATTGCTGAGTGCAGCGTCAAACAACATACAAACAAACGACAAGCATGGGTTCTGAAGACCTATTCTAACCTGGATCTTCACGGGTCTCCTGGACAAGTAGGAAGACTCCATCGGTGTATGGTCTGTGCTATAATTGTAAGTTGTTTCAGGGTGAACATATAGGACAGAATATGTACGGAATATATTTTTGATGTTCCCAGCCCACATCAGAAAACCCAGTTGTGCATTTTCAGAGACCATATACCGAAATATAGATTTATTTTCCAGGAGCTGGGACATTAATGATGGCTTCTTCATGCAAAGCCGCATACCCGCATGGACCAGAAGTCCCAACAGATTTGCTACATGGCTGATTATCAACCTCTGTCAATCGGTCATAATTTGTGTTTGTGGCGCTCGAGGGTAGCAGTCGCCATGGCCACCGACCTCTTGTATTGATTACGTTATGCAATACACAGATATCCCCTGCTAAGTAGTGTAAGCGACTTTCCGGACACCGCCACTGCGCATGCTCCGTGAGGTGTTGACGAGCGGTATTATGCTACACAGTCCAATGCTGGATAACGAGCTCCGCGTGTGCACGTGTCGGTCATTTAACCACTTTTCATGACATAACGAAATGGTTTGGGATTCCCACCCATGCCAGTATGTAATCCTACAATGCTTTCGGTATATCCCAAAATGTGCACGGTAATGAAAGCAATTATTAGGAATTAACATGATGCCATCTTATATATAGGCACAGTTATTTGTTGTCAAGTTCATGTCTGTTGGCATATGTTGCCTCCATGCATCATCCCACTTGTAAGAAGTACAAAACAAAAAAGATATTCCAAATCTGAAATTTCAGATACAAAAACGATCAAACAATTTCCTCTTTTTTAAAACTGAAAACACACGTATAACGACCGATTGTCTCATATACTTAATGCTCGTGTAGTTTATAACGATAACCACTAAAGTAACTGGCTTCATGCAGTTCATGTTATCTTTGGAACCTCTGATAATGATTAATCTCACAGGCTTGGACACCTTACATAGACTTATCTGATGCATTTATCAAGTTCGGGGGTGCAGGTGGCCGAGTGACCTCATTTCCGTAGTCAAACACTTCCGGAGTCAAAATGTCAGCCAGATTTACAATAATATGTTGATCGTTTGTTATTCCAGGGATATTTAGTACTTGATTACAATCTAAAATACAAACAAAATATTTTAAAAATCCACGAAGATAATCCCTAAGTGTGTTGCATTGTCTTTACTTGATGAAATAACACCATATGGTCCAGTTAACATAATCATTCCTTTTCTTTCTGTTACCATGATCAGATATCAGTATTAACAAGGAGATTTTACAAAGATATATATGGACTCCTTGGTATTAATGAGTCAGGTCTATAAATAGTGAGGTTGCTGTAATATATGGAGTTCATGACCCGTCACAACACGTACACTCTAAATCTATGTGTTCTAATATAGAACACTGGACGCGTCCATACGTTCTGCCACAGAATACGAATGTTCTAATTCGTGCAGCACGTGTGCTATTGCTGAACGCCTGTGATCTGATGTAGAACGCGTGTGTTCTCTCCTGGGAGAAGTCCATGCACATTAGCAGAGTTAATGTGCTGAATGCTGTTAGACAAATTTAAATTCGACCATCATATTTGTGTTTTCGGAATATTTATTTTTGAGAAGAAGAGAGGCTGGTAGATTGGTATGTCAAACAGAAAATGTGTATAAGAAGGGTTATATTTTGAGTTTGATGAATAATAAATAGTTTATAAACATGGCATACTTTGTGTTAATAACAACTCATATGTAGCCTGAATAAATACAACAAGAAACATTACTGAAATACAACTCATTGCTAATACATGGAAATAACTTGCTTGCATTGGGGACATTTACGTGTATCAGAACACTGGCATTCTGATGGCTAATTTTAGCTGGATCTTTAATGGGTGCTCTGGAACATATACGGTCTATTTGCTGAACGCCTGCGTTCTCTCCTAGAACGCGTGTGTTCTGCTGTGTTCTATAATGTTATATGCGAGAACACGTGTTCCATTAATAGAACATCGGTGTTCTGTTTTTCTAACAAGCATTCAAAGCTGTCCATGCTCTGTGATTCACATCCGTTATGTGAGAAACTGGCGTGACGTCGCATGTATTTGGCGCTACAATTTCCTATGATCTGAGGTGTGTCTGTGGTAAGTATCCATCTAGGAATACTTTTGTTTCATATTTAATACGTACCTAAAATAATGTAATATTTCGGCGATATATTCATATGCTGATCCCAACGAAGTATAACCGGCCCCTTACAAAACGCATAGCAGACGACATATTACTCGCCATTTTGACCGTCATTTCTGCCATTGTTCCACACGCTTTATTTATAAATTATGAGATGAAATTCCAATCCAAATTGCAAGTGTCACTATTTGAACGTTTCCGTTTATTTGAATGATGTTCAAATAAAATGAATATATATTTCAGGTTCTATATGAATCGCCTGAAAGTGCGAAGCGGGCTACATGCAACAAATCTCTGAACATCTAAATTTGGGATCCGAGGGCATGATCAGCAAGCATCGACAATGCATCGAAATCAGCAGAGAGTAGTGTAAGTATGTAATGAACAAAAAGAACTAAACCTTCACAGGACATGTTTTTGGCTATTTTATGTGAAATATTTTAGAGAATCAGTCTTGTTGTTTCTATTTCAGGTTTCAGGGTGCATTGCAGATAATCAGTACCATCCATGGAAACTATTGCACAGGGCACACGTCTACACAAAGGAGGAAAAGACACAAGGTTTTGCAGATCAAATAAGAAGGTACTTGTGTATATTTTGCTCTAACCTTTATCCAAGTAAGTGGTAACTTTGTTAGTCAAATGACATTTTTGGCAAAACATTTTGCAACCTATAAATAATGAAACAAATGTCACGGTAATCTTGGGTTTACTAACGAACATTTGTTAGAATGTCCTATGTAATATGTACGAGTTTGATAACTATATGACTATGATCAAATAAATGTTTTGTGTTGTAGGATGTTGGGGAGTCATATTTGACATGAAGTTTCCTGAAGCCTGCGATGGTCATGTCGCTGTTACGAACATCGTCCTTTGGGGATATTTACCCACAAGAAACATCTGCGAAGTACATGCGCTTCGTGAAAGACTTGAGTATGGAAGTATGCTTCAATTTGCTACACGACAGTTTGTAATGTTTCATGAAGAACTCTGACTCATAAGTGACTTGAATATCCATGATCATCCCAAACAAATATAATAAAGAATTCATGGTTGCAGTTCAGAATTTCGTCCGTGTGATTTTATGCCAGAGAATATGCATGGGTGTATGGTGTAAATTCTTACACCTTGAAAAACATCGGGTAAATTGTATTCGACACACACGATGAGTTGTCGTTTCAGTAATGTGGAAGTACGTGTCCGAGAACGTGTAGTGTTCTGAATCTCGGTCCAGAACACTTTACAGGCGTTCTAAAAGCGTTACATCGTCAGAACACGTTGAAGCGTTCTAAATATGTTTGTAGAACACTCCTGTTCTGGGTCGAGAACATCAACGTTCAGAATATTTTCAGAACACATGGACGCGTTCTAAAAGTGTTACATCCATGTGTTCTGTCTAGTGTTCAGAAGTGGAACACTTGGGTTTAGAGTGTACCGCGTGATTGAGGCAGAGGGTGTTAAAATGACAAGTTTAATCGTGCGAAATTATTTCAACAACATGTAACAAAGTTATGGAAGTTTGCTTTTATATACACCATCAATTGCCAGAATTATAATATCAAGATGTCAATATCAAATATAGTGACAGCTAGTCTATTCGTACATCTCGGGTTCCTGCAATTAGTGCAGTATCCGAGGTATAGTGCGTGTCGATGAATGACAATACATGTGTATATTAATACATCTTTTCGTATGAAGGAGAACAACATTGTCTTCTGGTCGAATGTGAAAGAGTCTTTATTGTTGATTGACTCAAGATTACTGATATGTTTTCGGTCGGTTCTTAACGTGATACTACAGGTCATCGTCTTGCCTTGTAAGTAGATCATGGAAAAGCGTCAAAGGGTTTTATCATTTTGTATCTCCCATGGTCGAAGGCTGGTGTGTTGATGCTTGTCTTGCATGCATTTGGGACTTAATGTAATAATTACATATACCAAGTTACATGTTCTATTCGAATATATGGGATAGGACGGAAAACGTTATCTCCTACGCCGTTGTTGTAATTACGAATCTACAAAACATATGCTTCCCTATAAGCTCCGAGTATAGAACTGTGCATACAAAATAGGAAGTTCTTTCTCTCAGCTTAATCAGTATATAAAGTGCGATTTTACATTGGATGCGATGAATATATAATATGCATATAATATGTTGGATGCATGTAAATAAACACACACACACACACACGCACGCACGCACGCACGCACGCACGCACACACGCACGCACACACACACACACACATTATGTACTCAATAACACAAGGTAAAGTTGGATAGCTTGACATCAATGCTGTATGTACAGTATGTTTCGGTATACGGATGGTTCAGTTTCGCTATACAAGCGTCTTGCTCGAGTTTCGGTATATGCAGGAATATACTCAGTTTCGGTATACGGACATCTCGCGAGTTCTAATCGTACCACTCAGAACATTAAATGTGTATTTCTACGTAATATAATGTTTCCTCGTTTACACATCGCGCCTATACAGTCCCTCACTGGGAGGAAACAGACACACGCAACTCCTACATACACGTCGGACAACTCTCTTGTGAGCTAGTACAATTTGCCAGTAATGTAAAAACGATCATCACAGACACATTTGAACTTGTTACCATGGAAACACAAAAGTATTGAAAACCAAGGTGTCTTCTTCATAGGCAAGTGTGTTCTCAACAACATACGTTACACCTGATATAAATCATGGCATGCATATAAAGTAATATTACATCGAAAACGTATTTGGTGACGATGATAATTGAGCCCATCTACATTTTATGGAGAATCTTCTTCACGTCCCTACCTCACTGTATATTCTTCCACGACACGTGTGACATTGCTGGGTAACACTATAACCGTAGCGCATTGTATTACACGCGCCAAGCATCCAATATAAATGACAGCTGTATGGCATTTGAAATGAGTTTTGTGTATTTTGTCATGCCTTGTGGGGTTTGAATATATATATATATATATATATATATATATATATATATATATATACCTATACCTATACCTATGCTGGTAATTTGCATGTCAATGGAGAGCTAGACTTCGTTTATATTTCATTGTGTATAGATATGATGCTAAGCTACAGCCGCGTGCGTTATTTAAGTGTACAGTTGTCACGGTGCGAGTGTCATATTGATTACACGAGGCTGTTCAATTGATACTGGTCAAATGTCAAATATAGATCGTAAAGTACATGCTTGTGCATGCACGACCTCGATTTTCATGAGGTGGTGAAATATTCAATATTTCGCACACATATGCGGCACTTACACCAGGAAATTAGTTGCCAGGTTACTACATTCGGTCAACAAAGAGTGCGTCATTCACAAGCGGGCTCAAAGCTGTAATGCTGCATTACCTTGCCATTGATTTTCTTCAGAAATTACTTTAGGGAACCTATCAAATGCACAAAACACTTTTATTATCAATATTGTCTGAATTGCGATTAACAACTTTAATATCCCCCCAACACATATATAAGTAAGGATATTATATCAATTCTATTATGTTTAGCACATAACAATAATATTTGTATTGATGATGACAGGTTGGTAACTGCCTATAAGAAAAGTCCACCACATCCTTCTTGAATCGGTCCCTAACATCGGATCTTATTTTCATGGGTAAATAAGAAAGCGCAACACCGCTTTTGCACACGAGCTAATGATTCATTTCGCAGAGGGATCACGAAGCAACAGCCAGACTCAGCATCCGCCATTTTGGAAAGTGCCGCTCAGGCCCTTCCTTTTTCAAATCGAATCTAGTTGTTGAAGAATCGCCGATCGCTTCACACTTTGACACTTCTGGTAGAGATTGCCAGAATGACTGACCAGGCGAAAGAGTTTGATGAGTTGGTGTACAAGGCCAGACTGGCTGAGCAAGCTGAAAGGTACGACGATATGGCCGAGGCGATGAGACTAGTGACAGAGCGTGATCAGAAACCGCTAACCGCCGATCAGCGAAATCTGCTGTCAGTGGCATTTAAGAATGTTGTCGGCGCTAGAAGATCGTCATGGAGGGTTGTTTGTATGATCGAAAACAAGCCAGAAACAGCGGATAGGAAGAAGGAAATTGCCAAGGAGTTTCGACAAAGTATAGAGAAAGAACTGAATAAGACATGTAACGTTGTTTTGGAATTATTGGATAAGCACCTCATCGAGAAAGCAGAGGACGAAGCAGCAAAAGTATTTTACCTGAAAATGAAAGGCGACTACTACAGGTATATTGCTGAGTTCTCCGAAGGCGACAGCAAGACGGAGGTCCAGCAGAAAGCTCAACATGCTTATGAAGAAGCATACAAAATCGCAAAGGAAAAAATGGATAAAACACATCCTAACCGTTTAGGCTTGGCACTGAACTTTTCTGTTTTCTTTTATGAAATTCTAAATTCACCAGACAAAGCATGTGCTTTGGCTAAGGAAGCCTTCGATGACGCCATAGGAGAGATAGATCAACTTAGCAGTGAGGAATATAAGGACAGTTCACTTATAATGCAACTCCTGCGTGACAACCTGACACTGTGGACGTCTGATGCTGCCTGTGAAGACGAACAGGGGCAGACACAGGAGTGAACAGTAAACACAAACTGTGCGAGAAACGGTTGAATGTGAAGTTGGAACAGTCTCAATAGTCACTCTTGTTCTCTCGTTTGTCCCACGGACTCCAAAGCTTGGACTAGTTGAATTTGCTGCTTGCACACTCTCCAAAATGACAGTATCATGTATGAATTACAATCGAGTTGTGCCAGGAAAGAGTTTTCGTATTTTGCTTGTTTCCTCTTGAGAAAGCTTGGACACCCATACTACTGAGTACTGACTCTTCATATCATGTTTTTTCTTGTCCAAAGTTATAATATGATATCTGTGAGGATAGTTTGTTGACATTTTAATAACACTGGACATTTTAGTGTCATACAGGTAGTGACGGTTTTGTCAGAATTTTTAAGTTCTATCCTTTAAATGCAGAAAGAAAAATAGGCTAACAATTTTTTAAGTGCTTGATAATATCTAGATAAGCAACATGTCTTAAATTGTTATGTAATCTTGATAAATATTAAAGCTCCATCATACATCCACCGAAATAACTTGTGTTTATGTTTTCCATAGAATTAATAAGGACTAGATAAATATAACATCTGCAAGCACTGGTTCCAGCTGTTCAATTGGAGTTACCTCCCTTGTCTAGTGCATGTGCTAGGTCACCACCACATTTGAATGATTAGGGTGATCCAGATATGGCTAAATGTCTATTTACTGAGAATGATTGAAGTATTTGTGATAAATCATGACTGTTTTTAGATTAGTTAGTGTAATTCTGCTGTTAATCTTGGCTGTGGCATAAATTTGTACAATTTTCCATTTACAAATTGACTTCATCTATGATATGTATTGGCATCTGAATTAAAGTGATTTTCATGTCCATTTCTAAGTTTTTGAGAATTTTAATCTTGAATTTGATGTAAATTGACACTTTTTATAAACCTTGTCACCTTCCACTCTCATGGCAACAAGGATTGTTATGAAACACAAGCTGTATTTTGTTGATTATTATTACCCTCTCCATGGAAATGCATGCAAAGTTGCAAACAATACTTATCTGGGACATCTATGCTCATATGGTAACTTGCCTTTGGCATTTAAATCAAATTTAACCTGTTCTGTATGTTGACCACTTTCAAGTAGCTTTGTAGCCTAATCATGCTAATTAGGAATTAACAACTTAACAATGGTAACATTACCAGTATTAGCCATAAACATTGGAGTATATCAGCTTGAACTTGTCTCTTTCTCATCATATCAGATAGATATTTGTGATGATATATGGATTATTTTGTATAAAATCCGAGTAAAGTGTTCTACCAAGAATACAACATTTCTGAAGGATTTTATCAAATGCCACAAAATTATACTACCGACAAAAATAAGGGAACTGATGAAATGATAATGAAGGTGTAATGACACTTTTTTATGCGTGTAGGTTCAATATCTTCTTTGAGAGGCATATAGAAGTTTGAGTACTAAGTAAGGATAATATTTATGGATGAACATCTTCTTTATTACAATTAGGAGCAACTTTTCAGTTTAGGTTCTTACACCGTTATCAAGCAAGTGATCACTTGGTTAATAACAGTGTTAGAACCTACACCGAAATGTCTCTCACTTGGTTGATAACGGTGTCGCTCCTAATTGTAATAAAGAAGTTGTTCATCCATAAATCTTATCCTTACTTCGATCAATGTCGACACCTTGATGGCATACTGTTGATGAATTTGTGCATGTTTTCCATGCTATTGCCCGTCAATCTGACTGACGAGCTACCCCAAGTCGGACCACATTAGTTGGTGTTGGGTCTGTCGCATACACTCTCCGGGTGAGTACATCCCACAGATGCTCTATTGGGGACTCGTCAG